ATAAAGTCGTAATATTAGTAAAGTCATAATTTTACGACAATAAAGTCGTAATATTAGTAAAGTCATAATTTTACGAGATTAAAGTCGTAATATTACGAGAAAAAGTCATAATCATGACGTGTCTTTGTCCCATCCCTCATTTCCTCCTCATTTTCCTCACACCTGCTGTACAGCCATGTGTGTATGCTTATAAAGTAGACAATGATGAATGGGGCACTGTTAGATTAATATGCTTTCATCCAAAATTAGCTACGTGACGACTAAATCTGTCAATGCATCCATTAATTACAATAAGACTTCAGTTTATGGTCGTTCGCACAATTTTCAAGTCCTGCTACTGATAATTTGATGCTGATGTGCTAAAAGAATAACTATTTACTATTACTATAGCAATACTAAAGAAACAACTTGACAAGTTGCTCAACATTCCTCATTTTAATGCTGAAACTGCATTATTTTTCATGTAAAGGTTAGAATATTATGACTTTGATATGACTTTAAACTCGTAATATTATGAATTTATTTTCATAAAATTACGACTTTATTTTCATAATATGACTATTTTTATACGACTTCTTTAATGTCGTAATATTATGACTTTATTCTCGTAATTTAAAAAAATTAAAAAAAAATCTTGTGTGGCCCTAATTACTCGGTCGTATTTGCTAGCTTTACGTTGTAGCTAAAATTCTGTTTGTTTTAGCTTGTTGCTTGCTTTAGAATACACTTTTTTCTTTTGCCTTTTATTTAATATTTTGTTTCTTTTATCTAGCCTTTTACAATCTTTATTTTGTTGCTAAAATTTGGCTAACATTAGCTTGCTTTTTGCTACATTTAGCTTTCGGCTACTGATAGCTAGCTTTTAGCTAGTTTTCTGACACTTATGTTTGGTCTTTTGCCATTTTTAGCCTTTAGCTAAACTTTTATTTCTATTGGATAGGATTTAGTTATTATTAGCTACTATTTGATTATGTTTTAAATTGACCTTCAGCTAGCATGTTGCTACTTTTAAGTTAAAGTTCTAGTTCTTTTAGCTTTATCAACTCAGTTTGAGCTACAGTATTTCAGCATAGTTGTTCATATTTTAGTTTTTGACTGCTTCAGCCCTCTTCTGGATGAGGATTAAATCTACTTTCCCTGCTTCTCTTTAAATTTGTTCTGCTCTACAAATCATTTTGAAGGTTAACAGCTGAAACTGGAGTTGAAAGACAACTTTTCGTTTTAGCTGTTACACCGCACCGATCAGCCATGTGAGCAGACGGCTGCTCACCCTCATGCAGCAGCTTCTTGGCGTGGGAGGGCTCTTTGCCCTGCGGCTGAATGAAGGCGTAGATGCACTTCCTGACCAGGTCCTCCCAGCCAGGCCGGCCTGTCGATCGCAACGCGCTCGTTTCTATGGAGATGATCTTCCCTGGATTAGAGCACCACACACAGACACACAAAAGATCAGCCTGCACTGATTTCAACAACAACTAACCTCCACAGACCTGCACTTCACACTGAGGCCTTAGTAAAATAAAATAAAAAATCCACGCACAACTTTGTAAAATATAAAAATGAATCAACCATATTTTGATTTTTCTCTGGAATTTTAAAGTTTTCTGAACATTTTGTGATGATCTTTGGAATTACATTTTTCTAAACCAGGGGTCTGCAACCTTTACAATCAACAGAGCCATTTCTGCTGCTTGGCTCACTAAGAAAATG